TCAAATGTTGGTATTATAATAGTAAAGTATAACTTTTTCATTAGGTATGTTTATATAGTGCTGTTTGATGTTGCTCAAATGTTGGTATTATAATAGTAAAGTATAACTTTTTCGTTAGGTGTGTTTATATAGTGCTGTTTGATGTTGCTACAGTGTTGGTATTATAATAGTAAAGTATAACTTTTTCATTAGGTATGTTTATATAGTGCTGTTTGATGTTGCTCAAATGTTGGTATTATAATAGTAAAGTATAACTTTTTCGTTAGGTGTGTTTATATAGTGCTGTTTGATGTTGCTACAGTGTTGGTATTATAAAAAAAGTTATACTTTACTAGTTAGATATGTTTATATAGTGCTGTTTGATGTTGCTAAAGTGTTGGTATTATAAAAAAAGTTATACTTTACTACATTAGGTATGTTTATATAGTGCTGTTTGATGTTGTTCAAAATCTGGAAATGTATTTTTGAAACACTTTTTGCATCTTCTTGTTGTTCTAGCAGTGAAACACTGTACACCACACACAGGATATCATCATGTGTCACACAGAGAAGTGATTTTATGGTTCTAATAATATAACACTGCATACCACAAACAGGATATCATCATGTACCACACAATGATGTTGTGGTTCTAACAATAAAATGCTTCACAACACACAGAGGACATTATCATGTACCATACAGTGAGGTGTTGTTGTAGTTCTAACAATAAAACAATGCATTCCACAAACAGGATATCATCATGTATCACACAGTGATGTTGTGGTTCTAACAATAAAAAACTGCACAACATGTACAGGATGTCATCATGTACCACACAGTGAAGTGTTGTTGTTGTGGTTCTAACAATAAAATACTACACACCACAAACAGGATATCATCATGTACCACACAGTGATGTTGTGGTTCTAACAATGAAAAACTGCACAACATGTACAGGATGTCATCATTTACCACACAGTGAAGTGTTGTTGTTATAGCAACAACACTGTGTGGTACATGATGATATCCTGTTTGTGGTGTGTAGTATTTTATTGTTAGAATGATGTGAAGAATATTATTGTTAGAACCAAACAACACTTCACTGTGTGATACATGATGATGTCCTGTGTGTGTGATGTGAAGAATATTATTGTTAGAACCACACAGGACATCATTATGTACCATGAATGCCTAACAATCTGATATTCTGCTAGTGTAATTGCTTTAGTATTCTTTGAAAACTAAGTAAAAAAATGTAAAGCATGTAATAGTCTACAATAACACACTGCTACAACCAAGGCTCACCAAAAATAAAAACAATTTATTAAACTGTAATGCCACTTGGAATATAATTTAGCACTTACAAAAAACACAGTTAAAAACACATGCCAGGTAAGGACTTGATACTAGTGCTAATGAACAATAAAGCATAAATATTAATTATTTCAACTAGGAAAAAGAACCAGAAGAAGAAAACCTAATACCAAAACATCAACAACAACACAATATTCAAAAATCACTTTTCTGTATTAAAAAAACATTAAGTGACAAACAGCAATATTTCACTAGCTATATTGTTCACTATCTCGTGACTCCGTATATGAGGCTTATGGCAGAGTATTTATTCACTCCATTATGTCATGAGAGTACATCTCGTGTGACCCTAAATTTACATAATTGTTTGCTGCATCAATAATATCTGTATGTCACCACTAGGAAAGCTGGTGACAGTTTTATAATACATATATATATTTACTCAAAATAAAAGTGATCTGCTAGAAGGCAAGTTAGTGTTTTAATGTAACTTAAAAATTCATAAGTAAACTGAACAATAAAAGGAAGAATAAATGAACAATACACAAAACCATAACCAAAGAAAAAATAGAATTCACTATCTCATAGGTAGACACTAGAGCATCTGAAGAACACACAGGACATCAATCTCCAAGAGCCCCACCCGAAGAATACAGAGGACATAAATTCCAAAAAGTCCCACCTGAAGAACACAGAAGACATAAATTCCAAAGAATTGCACTTGAAGAACACAAAAGACATAAATTACAGAGTCCCATGTAATAAAAGAGCTGGAAGCTAAGTTGGAGGTATAAAGAACAACAGGCATCTATACTGAAATTGCAGGCTACTTGTAATAAAAAAACAAACCCAAATTGTATGTTTTTATAACAGTTCTGGGTAAAAGTGATTACAGAATTTTTATTTTGTAATTCTGACTTTGAAATGCCATCAAAGTATTCAATACATGGATTTAGAAAAAGTCATGAATGAACAACAGAGAGTCTTCTGTACATGCAAAGATATTTACATTTTTTAAGTAAAAACCATCAAGTTAACAACCTTGGCAGTTCTCATGTTAATCCCCAAGAGTCCCAACAAACAGAGAACATTAATACCCAAAAGTTCCATCTGAAGAATACAGAGGGCATTAATACCTAAGAGCCCCATCTGAAGAATACAGAGGACATTAATACCTAAGAGCCCCATCTGAAGAACACAGGGGACATTAATACCCAAGAGTTCCACCTGAAGAACACAGAGGACATAAATCCCAAAGAGTCCCAACTGAAGAACACAGAGGATGTTAAACCAACAAATCAAATCTGAAGAACACAGAGGACATAAATCCCAAAGAGTCCCATCTGAAGAACACAGAGAACATAAACCTGCAAGAGTCCTAGCAGGCCATGTTTTTTTGAGCTCTGGTTTTCATTGCTTTTGTAAAGTTTTCTCACTGTATTGTTTAAATGACAACATGTTGTTCTGTTAAAAGAATATGGTAATTACTTGTTAATCCTAGTACTTCTTATGACATTGCAGTTTGAACTTAGTCATTATTAAAAAATAGATTGTCTTAAAAAAAAAGATATATTTCAATTTTGAAATTGCTTATATTTTAAAGTTTAAAAAGTTTTAACATCTTTAAAATGAAAATTATGAATTTGATGCTGTACTTGATTGGACTGTTAAAAAATCCCAGTTCTCTAAGCAGTGTCCTTAACTGTATGTTAAGATGCAATCATTGGGACATTTCATGAGAAGGGAGCCAATACATTCTGGGATATTGTTATGAAGATTCCATTACAAGGGCAGCCAATTATTTGTTGGAAGTTTTGTCATGTCTTACACAAACTCTTGAGAGAAGGACATAAAAATGTAAGAGAAATAATTTTCATTACTGTTGGATGTAAAACTTTGTTTAATCAGAATTTGTACCAGTCTTATCTTATTCTGAAGAATGTAATGTCTACATTTTAAGTTCTTGGACTCTTTGATATCCATACTGATTCCACTTTAATTCATTGGACATCTTGGAATATGTACAGATTCCACTTTAAATTCTTGGATATCTTGATATCCATACAGACCACTTTATACTCTTGGACATCTTAATATTCATACAGATTCTACTTTAAATCCTTGGACATATGTTACCTGTACAGATTCCACTTTAAATTCTTGGATATATTGGAATATGTACAGATTCCACTTTAAATTCTTGGATATCTTGATATCCATACAGAGCACTTTATACTCTTGGATATCTTGATATCCATACAGACCACTTTATACTCTTGGACATCTTAATATTCATACAGATTCCACTTTAAATCCTTGGGCATCTTGTTAGCCATAAGGATTCCATTTTAAATCCTAGAACATCTTGTTATCCATACAGATTCCACTTTAAATCCTTGGGCATCTTGTTATCCATACAGATTTCACTTTAAATCCTTGGACATCATGTTACCCGTACAGATTCTACTTTAAATCCTTGGACATATGTTACCCATACAAATTCCATTTTAAATCCTTGGACATCTTGTTATCCATACAGATTCTACTTTAAATCATTGGACATCTTGTTATCCATACAGATTTGACTTTAAATCCTTGGACATCTGTTACTCATACAGATTCCACTTTAAATCCTTGGACATCTGTTACCCATACAGATTCCACTTTAAATCATTGGACATCTTGTTATCCATACAGGTTTGACTTTAAATCCTTGGACATCTGTTACCCATACAGATTCCACTTTAAATCCTTGGACATCTGTTACCCATACAGATTCCACTTTAAATCCTTGGACATCTTGTCATCCATACAGATTTCACTTTAAATCATTGGACATCTTGTTATCCATACAGATTCCACTTTAAATCCTTGGACATCATGTTACCCATACAGATTCCACTTTAAATCCTTGGACACCTTGTTAGCCATACAGATTCCACTTTAAATTCTTGGACATCTTTATCTGTACAGATTCCACTTTTGGTATGTGGACATCATCAGTTTGTATTAATACTCATATTGATATTTGGATAGTTTTTTTTGCATATAATTTATATTAAATCCCAGTATTTTGTTTCCTTTTTTTAGTTTCTAAGATAATGTGTATTTGAAAACAATTAATGTTGTGTCCTATGCTGAAAAACTACATGAGTATTATTTTTCACCTGCAGTTTTAACAACAATGTTTTAAATTCTTTTATAAAAATCAGCATTTTTTCATCTTTATATTCCTTGTCATATTTGTTTGAGGTAGATTTTAAAAATGAGTTATGTGAAATAAAGAATTTGTGTTTTCTTTGCAGGTAATGTCTGATTCAAACAAATACAGGTCTTCACTTGTTGATTTAGGAAAATTGTGGGTATGTTAGCCATTTTATTTAAAACTTTAGCGTGATATTTAATTGAGCAACTAAATGCTTCTTAAAATATTGTATGTCACAGCAAAATGTTACTAGCATATATGACATTAAGTAAACAAATCAGTGTGTCACAGTAAAGTATTTCTGTGTATAAGGCATTAGATAGATAAATCATGTTGTGTCACAGCAAAATGTTACCAGTGTGTATGACATTAGTGTGTCATAGCAAAATGTTACCAGTGTGTATGACATTAGTGTGTCACAGCAATGTATTATCACTGTGTATAACATTAAGAAGAAAAGCTACAATGTGTCACAGCAAAATGTTACCAGTGTGTATGACATTAGTGTGTCACAGCAATATATTATCACTGTGTATGACATTAAGAAGAAAAGCTATAATGTGTCACAGCAAAATGTTACCAGTGTGTATGACATTAGATAAAAGAATCATAGTATCATTCTGATGACAGCAGAAATATTTTCTTGATAAAGATTGTTAAGTAGTAACCCTAAGCACATGGGTGGGGATCAAAGTGTGCAAGCCTTGACCTTTTACAGAGTGCCACTCAACATGGTGTTACATACGTGATATCAGAATTATCAACTATTTAATTTACCCTACATTGATGAATTAGTGACAATTCATGGTAAAAGAGGGAAAATACAAGATACAGTATAAAGGGATACTGAAAAAAAACTGTACGCATGTGTTTTGGAGGTTCTAGAGGTTACACTCAAATACTGTATACAAACTGTACAATGGACAAAAGAAAATTACCTTTCACCTATGTCATCAATTCACAGATATATCTTGATAAAAGTACTTTTGAAACACATCTGATTTTTTTGTGTTTAACAGACTTGTACATTTTACTAAAATGTTGCCACATTTTGTATAGATGTACATAGTAATTTCAGAATTATAGTTAATATTCCTTCTTTAACTCTTTCAGCATGGGCACGGTCCCTGGGACTGACCTCTTAACCATTTTGTGCTTGTTGTGGTTTTCATTCTATAACTTTTAAATTATCAAGCGTATGGCAACGAAATTTGGCAGATTATCAGTAAACATTACAATGCTTTCATACGAAAAATATCAAATATTTTTATTAAGTATTAAGGTTTGTAAAGCAATATTTTTTCTCATGCCTTTTTTCTTCTTTTTTGCATGTTGCCTATCTATCATGCAAAGAAATTTTCATTTTAAAATTAAAAATACTTTTGTGCATTAGAAAAATTTCAAATTTCATATGTGAAATCTTTATAATGTCCAGATAGTTATCAAATGTTTCTTAAG